GAGAGAGAGAGAGAGAGAGAGAGAGAGAGAGAGAGAGAGAGAGAGAGAGAGAGAGAGAGAGAGAGGCTGTACCAGTGAGAGTGTGTGTGTGTGTGTGTGTGTGTGTGTGTGTGAGAGAGAGAGAGAGAGAGAGAGAGAGATGCTGTACCAGTGTACACCAGATGTGTCTTTGTGCCTGTGGATGGGTGCAGGTTATAGGTTGCGCTCTGTTTTGGAGTGGTGGATGCAGGACTTAACAGTGGTGTATGGGATACCTTGTCGGTGGTGTTTTTCCATGACTTGCCTGTGCAGGAAGTATGTGGGGAAGATTTTTCCAGACAACTGGTGTTTCACAAATGATCGACAAGGATTTGGCTCGACTTTATCCAGAACATGGTGATTTTTTCCAGAGCAGTCCATGCCAGACGGCTTTGAGGAGAATTTTGCTTGTTTGGTCTCTGAAGAACCCCCAACCTGGTTACTGTCAAGGTATGCCAACATATTCCTGCCTCACTGCCTTACGTCGTTGTTTGCTCAAGATCATTCGCTGCCGAACCAATTCAGCTATGCGTGCTGTAAGGTGTTTTGCTTGTGCATGCCCCATCTGTCTGTCATTGGATTAATTTTCTGCACTGTGAAATCATTTTTGTCTTTTGGTGTGTTTTGTGTTTACTTACTCGGCGAAAGTCCAACGAAACGGTCTGGCACAGTCATGCTGCTTTTTTGCAGAGTTGCGCGCAGCAAACATGGCAACTCACATGCACGTATGCGCGCGCACACACACACACACACACACACACACACACACACACACACACACAAACGGGATAATTAACGAGGTTCGAACATATTTGTAACAATACTACCGACTTCAAAGCGGCAGTGACTTCTTTGACACGACGTATGCTTGTCAGGGGGCATCCTCCTTGTGTCCTGGCTAAAGGCTGGACGGCATATGTGCGCCGCCAGCTACCCACTCATGTCATACGGCTCTCGAACTGGTTTTGCCGCATGGTGCGCTGGGCCATTGCTCACCCACTGCCGAGTGCACACTCTGCATACAGACCCTCCTCCCTACCACATGCAACAGGCCATCACCCACTCCCAAACACCAATTATGGCTGCAGGCGACATCAGCCCTCCACACACCAATACACAGCAGGTCGACCTCCTTCTGTTATTCCTGCTGAACTGGCAAACACCAATGTGGATACGCCAGCTCGGCCGGAGAACGGGCCAGCAGCAACAAGCAATGCACACACTGCTGAGGTTGCTGTAGGCGATGAAGGCCAGCATCCTACCAATGCAGCTATCACTACCGAAATGGTGCCTCCTTCATCACTGCCGCTGCCACCACCACCACCATCACCACCTCCTCCTCCTCCACCACCACCATCAACACTACCACCTCCTCCCCCACCGCCACCACCACCGGTATCCCCACCACCATTGCCACCAGCATCCCCACCACCATCATCATCATCCCCATCACCATCTCCACCACCTTGCTCGCAGACATCTTCTACATTATCCCCCCAGTCATCTAACCCCTTCTCTACTGCTTCTTCTTCCTCCCCTTCTTCTTCTGCTTCTTCTTCTTCTTCCTCTTCTCTCTCTTGTTCCTTCTCTACCCTCTTCGTCATCTCCCCCGTCCTCCTCTACCTTGCCTGATTCATCATCTTCAGCATCAACACATTCCTGGTCAGATCAGCTGTCATGGCGACCCCTTCGTCCAAGGCATCCACCGTTAAGTCGGCCGTCACAAACACCTCATTGGCGGAGGCGCTCCCCGTCTCCACCATCGTCTCCAAGACGGCGACTTTGTTTGTCCATGGACAGCATGATCATCGCCCCCCCTGCAGGGGTTCGAGATCTGCTCCGACTCCATGCCTGCAACTGTGCAGAACGACGACGTCGCGCTCAATACACACTAGCCCGGAATAGTAGAAATAGAGTCTGATGCCAACAATGTGGCGATGATTTCTTCAGCATTACGGGCCTGCGTGTGCATCAGACATGGGGTGCGGCCGCCTGTGCACCTTTTGCACGACTGGCAGCCACCATAAGTACAACTGTGGCTGATCAGCCTCCATTACCTGTATCTGACCCACCCATTTCTCCTCCACCTGACCTCGCATGCTCCCCGACCCCAATGGTCAATGACCTCCACCCATTTCTCCTCCATCTGACCTCGCATGCTCCCCGACCCCAATGGTCAATGACCTGCCTTCTGATCATTTGATGGAGCCTCTGACTGAAGATGACCTCTCTCCGGGGCATGTGCTAGAGCCGATGCAGTTGACAGGAACGGAGGAACCTGACAGAAACGATGAAGACCACAATGAATCTCCGCCTGCTGTGCAATCCACAGAATTGAATGAACTGCCCCCTGCTGCACAACCAGCAGAACCAAATGATCTCATAGTGCTACAGCGAGGCCACTGTGCTTACTATGCTATCAATGTAAGTCTCCTCGGTTACAATTGTAACCCTTACACAGTTTCTGATTTCGCCAATATGTTGGCCCAGAGGATGACAGTACTGATCATGAAGTGAACATAGAAGTCTTGTGTATGGCATTTTTATGGGTAGACTACAACTGCAGCCTGCTCCCCAGAACCACATGCCAGACATGGACTCAAATATTCGCGCGTACGTCCTGCATCGTCCAGGTCATTTCAGCGCTGTGACCTTCTCTTCTCTAATACTATAAAGCAAGAAGCGGGTCTCGCGTGACGGACCCAACAGAAACCAGGCGCCGCCACGCGGGACCGCTCCCGCACTTGAGGTTTTCCCAACCGGTGCGAGGCCGCGATCAATTTTTTTGCGAACCGGTGCGGATCGGAATCCTCATGGCAAGGCCGGGAAGATACAGCGCCTGCTTTTTTTTTTTCCTGTGGCGGCCTGTGGCGGATCCGAATCCGCAGCGCAAGGCCAGGAAGATACAGCGCTCCCTTTTTTTTTTTTCTTTGCATGCTTTTTTTCCCCCCCTGTGGCGGCCTGTGGCGGATCCGAATCCGCAGCGCAAGGCCGGGAAGATACAGCGCTCCTGTGGCGGATCCGAAGCCGCAGCGCAAGGCCGGGAAGATACAGCGCTCCTGTGGCGGATCCGAAGCCGCAGCGCAAGGCCGGGAAGACACAGCGCTCCGATTCATTGGATGTTGCTCATCCTATCGATGGAAGTAGCATGGCGTGAGCCGCGAGGTCGGAGAGTTATCGTCTCTCTCTCTCTCTCACGCACACACACACACACACACACACACACACACACACACACACACACACACACACACACACACACACACACACACACACGAACGATTCATTCCGATTT